CGAAACTGACCTCATCATCAAATAAGAAGTAGTTTTCTGGTAGTTGCTAGGCAACTTAGATGTAACTTAGAGGATGCCAACATCATACAAATCAAGTGCTTCAATTTTCAGAGGTATGACCATTCCAAAAAAGTCTACACCACCCGGGTAAAGTGCGTCCAATGTTCAGGAAACCATCCTGTAGCAGAATGTCCTGAACAACGAGAGGAGATTCAATGTACAAACTGTAGAGGAACCTACGTTGCTTCCTAGAGTCGTCCCCCCCCCCTCGCTGTCTAAAGGTCTCAAATGCTCGTACCAAGGATTTTTCTACTGGAGGCTCCATTTTTGCTAAACAATCACCAAGCTCATTACAGAACTATATATTACAACCACTGAAACCCTAGAAGGCCCAATTCTTGCCAGTTAACACCAGGAGTCAATCATTGGCCATCCCTGAAATCCTACATTGAGGTCACTCATGAGATCCTACAAGTCAGTTCACCCATTTCTGCTCCCCCACCCTCCTGTGATCCTTAGACAGCCGCATCCTTCTCCATATGATTATGGTTTCCAGCAATCGTAGAACTATGCGTTACTGATCAGCCTTTAGACTCAGTGTCCCTATAGTGTCAACTATACCTAATGAAACTCTATTCAATTCTTCCTTCAACTTTTTCCATAATGAAATATCCAGACAGAAAAAGTATTGTTATTCCTTTTGGAAAAAATATCAATTTTTTTTCTTACTTCGAATGAATCTATAGTATGAAACCCGTATTTTCAAAACTTCTCAATCATTACCCTTTTGGTGCTTTACATTTAATCTAAAATTATACCTGTACTGTCTTCATCCAATCATTCTTAAACCCAAATCCTCATGTAATTATTCTAGGCAATATACACTCAAGATTTTAACTAAATAACGAATATGGATAATGGTATTACTTTTTTGTTCCTTATGAATGATAACACCCTCTTAATTCTTAATGATAACATCCGCTTAATTTTTAATGATAACACCCCCACTGATATTCACTTTAACGGTTCACAATATATCCTGGACCTAGTAATAGCAACCCTTGCTCTCACTCATCTCACTTCAAACTTCCATATCCATGAAATTACCGGACGTGGCCATAACTCCATTTCTTTTCAGTTGTTTTTTATAAACATGATCTGTAACAGATCTGTTCCAGCCCATATAATATATGATTTTTCTAAAGCAGGCTGGAAATTATTTCAGAATATACTAGATAACCTTCTTTCTACCTAGTATATCTTACGTGTACTCAACTCAGGACTTAGACAATTATCTAACCGAAATATCACATGTGAGATATAGAACCTTATAAAACCATCAGAACCAACAGAAGAACCTGGGAACTAACTCCGGCAATATACACACATTAAGTCGCATGAGACGACGCCTATGCAGTTAATTTATAAACATGCGTGATTCCTCAATTAAAACACTAATTAACAGCATTAAAAATCAAATACAGAAATTCCACAAAGAACAACAGTTAGAACTGGTAAACATTCTGTATTTCCCTTGATAAAACAAGACCTGGATCTTCACTACTGTGGAGTAAATTTAAATATATCTGTTGAAAACAGTAAAGTCACATATAAAAACCTGCTGTTGAAACCAATAGTGAAAAAGCTAATCTCTCTGGTAAATATTTTAAAATCTCCTCAACTAACCAACCTAACACATTTTATAATAACAATTATATTGTTGTTTGTTATTAAGCACAAAGCTACACAAAGGCCTATCTGTGCTCTGCCCACCACGGGTATCGAAACCCGGTTTCTATCGGTATAAGTCCGCAGACATACAATAACAATTATAACTTAGTTAATAATCATATAATCACCAGCAACTCAGACTATGGCCTAATATTCCCCACGATAACCTCCGACCAAATCTCTAACCATCCTTACGATGATACGAATTGGCCCATTGATAGTTCAGAAATCAAAATATACATATCAAACGTTTAAAAAATTCAGCCTCGTTGAAGAATGAATTAGCAACTCTGTCAATAAAAATACATCTGCAATTCTTATCTCTCACTTTACGTTTACTATCCATCCGAGTGAAACTCCACATTTACAACATTCTCAATAAAGGATATAAGTTATCAAACCACAAAGATATGCTTCCCATCTGTTTACTTAATTATATAAATAAACTCCTGCGAAACATTTTTGCCCCAAGAATGCTATGGTATCTAGAAAACAATATCCTAATTTTAAACACGGTCTCGCAAACGCAGACAAATCACAGATCACTTGTTTTATCACTTTTAATTATAATCATGTCACAGTTCCTGTTTTCTTAAATGTAAAAAAAAAAATTTGATTCTGTAGTGCATTGTGCACTCAAAATCAAGTTTAAATCTTACAACATTCCACTCACGTGTTTACGGCGGGTCTCAAGTTTTCTCACCAACCGTGTTGCTAAAGTCTGTGTTAACAATTCCTTATCAAACACTTTTTCATTTGATGCCAGAGTTAATCAAGGACCCGTACTATACGTTTACGATATACACCCCCTTCCTACTGTGAACTCACGTATTTCAGTGTGCTGGCCTCTCTCAACCAAATCACAGTATGGATTAACAAGTGGCAGAATGTTGTCAATCCTTCAAAAACTCAGGCGAGTTTTTTTTATAAAAGCTTAAACAATAAATTAAAGAAAGTTACTCTAAAGCTGTACGACACAACCATACCTTTATTAACAAAATTAAGTCTCTAGGCGTAACATTTAAAAATCAGTTCACCTGAAATTCACACTTCATAAAAATTCTACAAAGATGTGCATATGAATTAAGTACCTCCGACGTATAGAATATCGCGATCACGACTGTATAACTTCCATTTCTTACTTATCTAAAAATGTTTTCATTATTTTATTAATGAAATACGGCTTTATGATGACTTGTAACATGCATGACAACACCTTTCTACTCCGCGCATTAACATAGCACTTCAACTCTCAAGCTCGTGTCTGGATCTCTGGATCGGGATTTAGATCCTTTTGCTCAGATCTTGGAGGGTAAGGTGCTTAAAATATCTATTCTTCCTTTCCTCCAGCACAATTATTGTAGTCATCATACAGAATACACCATCGTGTCTGCACCATTTACAGCAGACATTCACAACCTGGGGTACGTGTACCCCCAGGGGTACATTTGCACTTCTCAGGGGGTACATAGGGGTCTGAGAGTATAACCATGGTTTACACTTTACATGGTAATGGTTGGAGACGGCTTGAATGGGTAATGAAGAAAAACTCGTAAGTTTAACATAACAGTAATTGTACAACGTTTCGACAAGGTTTTGTCATCATCAGGTATATTAAAGTTTTTCTTCATTACCCATTCAAGCCGTCTCCAACCATTATTAGTCTCAAAGTGGGTTCCTCGTCATCGAACTTTACATGGTGTTTTTATCTACAGTCAGACAAAGAGAGCAAAGTGGCTCACATAAATATACGCTCTTGAGACAAAAAGTTGTGATCATGGTGAACGTTGTGATGGTATTGCTGTGCTACATTATAACTCATGTTTTCAATAAGTAATGTAGAACATAAGCAATATAGAACACCCTCGTTACAAATCAGCTGATAAACTAGGGATCAGCCAACTGGGCAAGCTCTCCTCCCTCCATTAATGCTTTGGGAGAGAATGCCAAAGGGGTACAGAGGAACAAAAAGGTTGAGAAAACCTGATTTACAGTCTTTAGTTAAAACAACACCTTTCAAAGCCATCTCCATTCATATACCACATGTAGCATTTTGTATCGGAATATACATTTCTTCGCTTCGTGTGTATAGTCCTAAACATGATAAACAGTTCCGTATATCGCGACACATTCACTTCACTAATTTATAACAAGAGTATTAGACATAAATAGCCCCCCCCCCCAGTGGTACAGTGGTATGTTTGCGGACTTATGCTGCTAGAAACCGGGTTTCGATACCTGTGGTTGGCAGAGCACAGATAGCCCTTTGTGTAGTTTTGTGCTTAATAACAAACAAACAGACATAAATACCCTAATTAGTACTTTTATTATAAACTAGTTAAAAGATACTTATACTTAAAGTCTAGCATTAAGTGACCTGTTGCTACTTTTAAAGTATACATTAACTGGGGAGAAATGTTAGGTATATTTTCATCATGTATGATGTCGAGAGAAAGTGAAGGCAGTATCTGGTTCTTATTCAGATTTTTTTTCTGAAAATATTTATTTGAGAAATGTAAGAGCCTGTCGTTTGCTGTCTGTATATTTGCGTATTTATGTAAAAAATTTTAACTTGTGCTTCTTGGTACTTTACATACTGCAGTGAATATTGAGTGTTGTATTGGTTGTAATTAGTCTTTTAATTAGGGTTGGTGAAATGTTTATCCAAGCTGGACTGGTATATTCTATTATTGGTCATATGTATTGTTTGTATATTTTGATACTGTTTCTTGATGAAGTTCCTGAGTTGTAACCTGACAGGCTCCTGGCATAATTTGCGCTTTTTTACATTTTGGTTCGAATCTGGTTAATATGAATTTTTACAATTTAATTTAGAGTCATGTGACTCTCATGTATGTTAACAGTTCTAACTTAGGTATCTTTTTGTGTTAGTTTTCTTTAATCGGAATTCAAGTTGCATGCCTTTCAACTAACCTATTTTTCTTTTAGTTTCAATTTCAGGTTCCAGCTCGTATAACGAATGGGTAGATTTTTTTTGGCACCTGCGCAGTGAAAGTGAGTTTTCCTCGGGGCACTCAAATTTCCTCCCACGTCCAATTCTATAGCATTGGATCCTTCATTGTAATATGCATTAAAATACGCGACTTTTTCGATACAGAATAGCTGAAAAAGTCATACATCATTGGATAGACGTTTAATAAATGAGCATAATCTATATCATATGTTTGTTACAAGTTATTATTTTCTTATTATGAACTTCATTTAGAATTGAAAATTACTGCTACGTTTACCGCTTAAGACAAACTTACGTGTCTTACTTCGAGGTTCTCGAGGCCCATCAACTGTCACTTTAATCGCTTTTGTGTAAGATGCCACCTGCGGGGGACTGGTGCTCAACGTAATCGTTATGGTTAGACTTTTTCCTATAAAAGAAGAAGAAAAAGAAAACCTAAACAATACTGAATAGTCATTTACAGAACATCACGAAACTTCACAAACATCAGTTATAATGCTATCAGACTTTTATAAAATATTTATACGTGATAAATACATAGAGTATATTAAATAGCTGAAACTCTTTAGAGTAAACATGGTTACTTCAAGCCACTTAACGATACAGTGAAGAGGGGTCGTGTATTCAGTTGTGTGTCTATTCAGAAAATGAAAAATCTGATAAAATACTTTGTATATGACACATCTTGCACACTTTTCTCGTTGAAATAATTTCTAACTTCAATAAACCAATATAAGTTTCAAAATTTCCAGGAACACATTTCCAAGAAGGGAAACAGTGCATCAGAAAGGTTAACAGCATACACCTAGTATATACATATAAAGAGTTCCACAAAAGTACTATTTTACATGATATCAGAGCGATATTTCCTTTTCGTGGATAATCCTCTTTTTTTATCGGATATTTTTTATTGTATTACTATCTTCCAGGACACAGTTCTGATGAAGTAGAAGTAGAACTAATCATAATAATAATAATACGTCGTACCATGTGATATTCTGCCTACTTGTCTGTTTCATGTGGCCATGTGTTTTTCTAGTGTGTTTTCGTAATACTGAGTGCTTATTAATGAACAAAACATATTTCAAATTATTATATTTTGAACGTTATTTCTTCCAGGGATATTACGTTTATCAGAAACAATTTGGGGATCATCAGTTTTATTCATAAAGTTAATCAGCATACTGAGCTTGTTCCTAAACGAAGCTATTGCAAGCGCCATCTATTCTGGAATAAGCTCATTGATCTGTCAAAGTCCTGCACTCTGACACATATTTTACACAAACCACCAATTCTGTACTGCCGAAAGAGAGAGAAAAGAGGAAACAAAAGCAATGCTTGTTTTTAACATAGGAAATATACGTATGCAGTGTAGTGTGGTTTAGAAACACGGTGTCCTGTCCAGTCTTTTCTGAATAAAACCTATGATTCTGCCTGTGCGTGTATAATCTCACCAGAGGCAAAATGGAAATAGTAAGTATCCTTTGTAATTACTCTGTGCTTCTCACCGTGTGTTTTTCTAGCCTGCATTTTATACTACTGTGTCCTTCTGTGTAATTTTGTAGTACGAATTGTCGTATTTTATTGACGTCTTATCGTATATTGTTTCATAATTATTTTATGATGCGTCAATCATGTGTTTAGCTTGTACGATTCTGCCTTTCTTGTCAACTATTTTAATACCTGGAGTTTGTGTTATTATTGATTCATTATGCATAATAGCAGATGCCCGTTGAAACAATTCAACGGTGATATTCCTCAAAATAGTGATGAATAAATATAAAATGTGCAGTCAATCGAATTCCTTGGATCAGAGTGTATATGCAATATGATTGTCTAGTGTGCCGTTTACAACCTTTTGTCATAACATGTTGTTATTTGAATAAAGAAAACTACATTGCGCTTGTTTTTCAGCATAGAAGACTGATTGCAATGCATTGTTGGCAAATATCTTTGGTTTTCGATGCAATAGGTGCATCCAGCGCATTGAAAAGCTCAGCTTAACTAACTAGCCGCTGGGATTTGTTCCGTTGGATGCCACCGTTTCTTTTCATTTTACTGAGCGTAAGGAAAGATCGCTACACAAATGAGAGCTTTTGGCACTTGCCATTTCTATAGGAAGTGTCAAAGGGAAGATATTCAATTCAATTCATTTCACCTTATTCAACATGGTAGAATAAAATTATGTCTGTATAAACCGAACAACAACAAATATATATATATGTATGTATAAACCGAACAACAACAAATGTATATATATGTATGTATAAACCGAACAACAACAAATATATATATATATGTATAAACCGAACAACAACAAATATATAATCAAACACGTTTCTCTCTTTATACGTTTTTTTTCTTTCATGCTCCTGTCTTTGAAATTTTTCTTTCAATTATTTGAATGTGTAAGTTCCGTTTTTGTTGGTTTTTTTCATGAAATTTCCTCACGAAAAGAAACATTTTTGTTCTTAATATTTTTCTCAGATTGCGAATTTCAAAAACTGAATACTTTCCTTGTAAAGTACTCTTGAAAATAATAATTTTCATATGCATATATATATATATATATTGTACGATTAATCTTTCACGAAATACATAACTGTTACAGACATTTGGCTATTATTTATATAGATATATCTTCTCGTGTGGTACAAAACAAAAGCATAAAAAACTGGTAAACGAAGTTTCCAAAATTCATACTGAAGTCCAACTGAGGTGAGTAGATAATAGGTTAATTTTTGGATACTTACGTCGTAATTACTTTTACAACTTTTAACTTTGTAGAATAAAAGTTTTAAAAATGGTTCTGAACTATGATTTTGAAAATAATATTTCGTATTTTTCTAGTTAAATATTCTATATGTCTTGCAAATGCAGCATTAAGGAATTAGACTCACAACAAGTGGATGAGTTCTTCCGCACTGACTATGCTTTTAAAAGATGGTGTATTACACATCTGATAGAACTTTATAAACTAATCAATGTTATAATACTGTTATCACAATGCGTAAATATAAACTATATGTATACTTTAGTTTAATTACACGGCTGAGTTGCAAATGATTATTTATTATTATTATTTTATTATTATTAATTACAATATTATTCCAAAAACTTGTATTTGATTATTTCCAGATTTATGAGTCGATTATTCTCAGAGTTTTATTTCGTCACTTCCTCGATTTTGATTTAAATACTTCTGAACTTTCATTACATTTTTCTAGTTTTATTTTTTTTAATTTCCAAATCGTTTGTTAACCGTAATAATTTTTAACAATTTCCAGACTTTTTACTTAATTTTTTTCCAACATTGTTATTTGCCTATTCCTATCATACTCACGTTACTATTCCTTGAATTTTTTAATGTGGATATGAGCTATAATTGGCTTATTCCCAGAAATTTGGTTTCGTTGTTAAATTGTTTATTTTTTTTTTCCATTCGCCATAGACATGTTGGGTAATTTCAGATATTTTTATTTCATTATTTCTACAATTATCAGATGGATATTGATATGTTACTTTTATTTTTCATATTCACAGAATTTTATCTACTAAGTTTTTAAAGCTTATTCCTAGGTCTTTGACATGTTTATGTTCAACCACTGTCATATCGCATTTCTTGTCTCCAACCGCTGTCATATCCTGTTTCTTGTGTAGGATTTTATTTCCCGAACTTATTATTTTTGATACTATAGAATATGTAATTCAGTGATTGGGTTACAATTTTATCAGCTCTTCTGCATGTTTGTTTGTTTGCTAGAAGTTAAGCACAAAGCTACACAATGGGTGGGGGAGCTTCTGCATGTTTTCTTTTAGTCTAGAAATTTCCTTACCTTTCGATATATCTTAAAGACGTAAACAATCACGTGATATAAAAGAAATATCAATAACTTCTTGCCTTTCAATAAATCCTTCATGGATTTTCTTGATTAAATGTTCAAAATGAAATATAATGTACATAATATTTTGCTTGTTTGTTTTAGCGCAAAGCTACACGGGCTCTGTCTACCACTGGGAATCGAACTCCGGATTTTTAGTCGTGTAAGTCCGTAAGCTTACCACTGATTCACTGGGTGACTGTACACGTGCAATCTTGTAGATAGACAATGCAATGAAACATAAAAGAGCAAACATGGAAGTAGTGATTCGCTGAACCTCACTTTTTTTAAGTACATATAACATCCAAAAACAATTTTCATTCCTTCACGTCTTTCTACATGAAAAGTAAATTTGTTTCTAACCACCAGTACAGTAACATTTGGGCCAATCCATGTGGAAAGCTTATGTACATCATTAGTTTCCAAAAAAGTATACATGAAAAACAAGCATTCTGAAGGTTTCATATAATACGTCCTTCCTGTTTTAAATTGGTTTGTTGATCTTTTTTTTGGGCCATTTCTTCACCGTGCATTATAATTCTTACTTCTAGTTTTCATAGAATCGGGCGTAGTCAGCGTACCAGTCTGTAGATCTGAAGGACGATAGTTCGTGTATCTTTGCAACAAATTCATGCTCCACACTCGTGAGTGCGTTAGAAGAGTGTCGGTTATATCCCACTAACAGTAGCCCAAAAATTGTTAGTTGACTAATTGTCTTTCTTCTAGTCTCTCAGTTTAAAATTAGGTACGTCTAACGCAGGTAACTCTTGCTCAGCTCAGCACAAATATCGAAAAAACAACAACACATTTTTACGACTTTCGTGTCTTTTTTATAACACAATGATTATTGACAAATATCAGCCTTCTATAAACAGATAGCCTTGTAAAACCTAAGCTGATTCGTTCTGATACTTTTTTAATGTTGATAAGATACCAAAGATAGCGCAGGAGATATAGCTCCGTGAAGAAAATGTCAAACAAAATGTTATCGTAAGAAACAACCTGTTGTGATACAGGAAAACAGCAAAGGTAAATACTAATAATAATAATGATCGCTAGTGTATCATGTGTAAAGGCTGCTTGACTAACTTTCGATGAAACACATAAATTCATAGAAAACAGTAAGTTATTACACTTGCATGGGTGCATTTGTCCTGAAGCAGACAATATTCGTACATAAATAAAACATTTGAAATTTTCTATAGAAAATAAAGAAACTTAAATAAATGATACATAACAATTGAACTCTCTCGTTTCTCAAAACTAATGAATATATATAATAAGTAAACCCTTATTTTCAAAAGAAAATTATTATTCTTGCAACAAAAAATTAACTAGCTCACTAAAATGTCAAACTTCCAAATGTGTAAAATTCAAGAGGGTTGAATAAATTTACATAGCCTTCCTCTTAAATTATAACCTGATAACACAGAACATGATAAGAATGTGAAAACATATTTGTCACTTCAAGACATTTGTTGACCTTTTAAAACGGAATGTATTTTCGTGGACGTCTCTATATTGCAAA